CCAGAAATATTAATTTTTACATTCTTTGAATTCAAGAAAAAAAGTAGATCTAAATTTTATAGTATATTCACGCTTTTCTTTTCATTTTTCCTATATGACTTGACTTGAACTTTAATTCTTTAACATTGGATTAAATTGATAAAACTTGAAGAAAGAAACTATTATTCCTTATCAACTATAGGGTCATGTATGTGTACATAGATTGTTAACGATATCCAAATGAATATTATATGAGAAAAATTTAATATGCGTCTATTTGTAAGTTTAACACTGCGATGTAACTGAAAATTTGATTTTTACTATACATATGCATTAACACATAATATATGAAATTGCAAATAGGTAATTTTATTCATTGCTATTCTGTAGAAATAAGAAAAAAACTACTTAAATTGATTTAGCACAAAACTGAAATATTGTAATATTTGAATTCTCCGTATTCAAACTAATAATTTAGATGAATTTGGACAATTTGAACAATTATAAATTAGTATCATAATTAAACAAATTGCAATCAAAATAATTGTAAACAATCGTAAATTATCACGCTTCCTTGAAAAAATGAAAAAACAATTTTAACTACTAGTTCTGATTTGGACGGTTTTGTCGGAAATTCTAAATGTTTTACACAAAATTTTTATAATATAGTAAAAAAGGTTGGAAGTTTCGAAAGGTACCGTTCGATAATTCAAACGTATGACTAGGACGTTTTCGTATATAGCAAGCAAATATTAAATTTGCCCTTTCGAATTTCTGCTAAAAATAAAACATATTCAAAAAGTAATGTTCTTTATTGACATATATCAGTCTTTTGGTTTACGTCATATTTGACAATTATTGTATAAAAAACTATTGTTTGTTTATTAACATTGTTTTTGTTGTTATAAACGAAATTTCCCAGAAAGACCCAGGTGTAGAGAGCGATATGTTATTTAACTGTAACAAGTAAAAATGAAATTTGAATAAATGTACAAAAAGAAAATTTTTTTTTAAAACCCATTTTTAAAGTAGTGTCATGAATTTACTTTTTTATTGTTTTTCTTCATTTCCTATTCATTTATATACATTTATACGTTTATATACATATATTTTTTTTTGTCTTGCCTTTGGTGACAAAACCAAACCCTATTTTTCGATCTTATTATTGTACGTTTATTGTGAATAAAAGAAAATACATGAAATTCTTTAACAAAGTAACACTTTATGGCCCCAATTTTTATGGTATAAAGAATTTAAAAGTGAACTTGCAATTGAAAAGAAAAAGTTTTTTTTTTTTATTGTAATTTTAATTTAACTGGTATATTAAATTAAAATAGGAAGATTTGTACTGCGTGAGAAAATATTCCATTATGTTTTTTAAGACATCAGTCATTATAATTTTTATAAAGTGGACAATATAATAGAAAATATTAGATTAAAATATGACATTTTTAATGAAAATCTAGATCTATGTATATTAAATTTTATTGTATACTGAGGAAATAATAATAATGAAAAATAGTTTTGTAGGTAAAATTTATTTATTGAAATTAAAAGATTATGCATGTTATGAATGTGGTAGTAATATATATACGAGTAGTAACAGATTAAGTATTTTCACATAATGCAACAAAAGATGAAATGTAAAATGTTTAAGTATAATAATTTTCGTAATACTTTTACAAAAATAATAAACTTGGGATTGTATTTGTTTTTGATTTATGATTTTGATTTTATGATTTGAAAACATGCAAACATATTGTGTGTACAGCCACCAATGAATTCATTATATAGAAATTTGGAAGTAGGAAATTTCAAAAATTTTCCAAAAGGATTCTTCAATAATATTTTTCATTTTATCAAGTACGTATAGAATATTATTTTAATGAATTTGTAACCAAAATTTTAAATGATCCTATACAGAAGAATTGTAACTTATTTAGAATTTATAGAACTTTAGTCAACATTTTTATTTATAACAATATTTCTTTTTCTTCCTTAAAGCCTATTATCAGTCTATATTAACATTGTTTTAGATTTTATACTAAACGATAATTTTTTTTAAAAATATCTTGCATGTGTGTGGCGTATTTCTAAATATGATTTTACTGCCATGTAGATCGTTCCGAATTGAGTAAGATTTTGTTGAATTATAAATTTGATCTCGATTAAAAATATCGATTTTGTTCCGACTCGAAGTCAATTTATGTTATTTTTCGCTTATATTTCCTTAGAGTTTTAGACTGATGCAATAAAACTGTACAGTTGTAGCTAACAGATGGAAAGATGAATTTTTATGTTTAACGCAAAATGTATTAGTAACAACTATTTACGATTAAAATTTTAATTTTTTAATAGTGACATAAAAACCCATTTAATAAAATGATTGACAAATAAATTTATTTAGTGTTGAAATATTCATGGCAATTTGGATCATATATTGAGACAATATAGAGAAAAATTTTTTTTTGTAAAATGTTATTTATTTTACTCTAGACTAGACAATGAAATGAAAAAGCATTGAATAAGATATTTCAGTTTTAAAAAGATTATGTATTACAAATACTTAACATAAATTTTTTATAAAATTGTGAAGAAGATCAAAATATAGTTGTATACAATCAAACGAAAATAAAGTTGAAAATAAATTTAATAATAAAACTCATAAATCTTATATTTATTGAAAAAAATTGACCATTTATAGAAACTTATGTCAGATAATGTACGATATAAAGCTATATTACTAAGACATCTGTTATACAAAAATATCTTCAATAAAACCAAATTCAGTAAAATTGATTATTACAAAATTTGGAATTTTGTACCGTGCTAGAAATTTCATTTTAAAATCTCAAATTACAAAAAGTCTTATTAGTATTACGAATTATGTAAAATTAAATTTAAAAACTTAGCTAAATTCATAAATTAAATTGGATAAAATATGGATTATTGGACAAATAATACGTATATTAATAAATTTTGTTACATAAACCGCTCAACATGCATTTTTATAATTTTTTCCCAACGTAGAGAAAATCTAAAAATAAAAACTAAATTTATTTAATGTGTAGAAGCGTCAAAATCAAAACTTATTAATTTATTTTAAAGCAATTAAATAAATTAAAGTTAAGAAATGGAGTATAATAGTTTATAGTCATATAAGAAGACAATTTTTGTATAATTACACAATGGTAGTACTTTTTTTAAGTGACACTGTTTTAAATTACATTACCACTCGAAAAAGTAGTTTGTTATTTAATTACAAAGGTCTTCATCCGTAGAGCACTATACACACAATTGGTATAATTAAGAATTTCTTCATATTCGTTACGTAAAACTTTTTTGATTTTCCAATTTTAAATATTCCATAATTAATTCCATAACATATAAACAAATTCAATTTGTGTTCGCAGCACTTTAGCTGCATTTTAGATCAAAAATAATTTGTTTTATTTCGATAATTTGATTGAAAAACTGAAATTCTTAAGAAATTCAAGGGGGAAATTTAAATAATGAAATTTCCATTAAAAGATTTGACTTATGAACAAATTTTATTGCATATATTTAGGAAAAATATTAGGAAAAAACAGTAAAATTTCGTAAAAGTTTTTTACGGCATAAGAGTTATATATTAAATATGTTGTTAAAAGTTGGGTAAGATAAAATGTAATCCTGAATTTTCAATGAGCAGAACGCTATAATTTTCTCTCATCTTTTACTTTATTAAAAGTTAAATAAAGAAAAACAATTTAGAAGAAATGACGAACTACCGAAACTTGATATTTTTCTGAATTTGACTTGCGATTACTCAGAAGAGAAAAGAGATAGAGAATTTTGCTCAAATATCATAACATATTATTTGTTGATATACATACAGTTAAGTTATATCAACAAACAGAAAAAAAGTTAAGAATAGCTGTTAAGTTGAAAAGATTTTTCATTTTTACATTTCCTTATAAATTTTATTTTTTATTTCCGATAGAAAAGACAAGTCATAAGCTGACGATGGCAAAATTTAAAAATTTCTTATAGTTACAGGAAAAACTGTATCAAAAATTGGATATTAAGAGTATAGCAGCAAGTGAGAGATGAGATAGATGAAAATTGTGTTGTAAAGAAAAAAATGCTCCCATTTAGATAACTATATTTGCTTTTTCTAATCTAATATTGTCTAATTTTTAATTAACTATTAAATAAAAAAATAAAAAATTTACATTCCAATAAAAATAAATTATAAGAATTTTAATTTAATCATGGTGTTCAATTTTAACCTTATATTTATTGATATAAAATAACATAATTTAGTTAATTATTCTTTAAGACGATTTCTATATAATTGTTTAATATATTAATTAATTAAACAAATACTAGCATGACTTTGAAAAAACTTGAATTTAAGAAAGTGTAACAAAAGTTTTATAAACCTATATATTGATTCTTCCAATGTAAATTATATTTAAGTATAACAATAATTGATAATTTAAAAAATTTCTACATTTCATATGAAAACCTATAAGTACAAATGTAAATATACAATTTGCATTTATACAATATATTGTAAATTAAAAATTAAACACAAAAAAATTATGTAGAACCTTGAAAATTTCTTAACTATTAAAATAAATACAAAGCATCTATACGTATTAACGAGGTACGTTATATGCGTACTTAGTGTATGTTGTGTACATACGAACTTTTATGTAGTAATTAAGTAAATCACCAATCTTAATCTTAAATTATAGATTTTCTATTGAAAATTTTGTGTTAAAAGTAAAATAACCAAAAAAGCCTAAAAAACAAATATTAACATATAAAATAGTTATTTTGAATTTTTTTAATTTTATTTTGAAATGGCTCATATTGTTATTATTAAAAACTAGTGGAAAATACAACACACAAAAAAAAAATGAAAATTGTATGGAAATTTTAGAATAAAATCAAAAATAATTTTTGTTTTCTGAAATGAAATATAAATAGAAAAACAAGAAATATAAATAGAAAATCATCGAATATAATTTTACCAATAATAATCCTGCAGCAATACAACAAATAACAAATAAATTGGCCTTGTTAAAATGTTCCATAACACGATCACCCCAATATAATTGATCTTGCTGTTTTTGATTATGTTGTTGTTGTTGCTGTTGTTGTTGTTGTAATAATTCCGATGAATATTTTTGATTTTGTTGGTGCTTATCAATAATTACTGAACTATTTTCATTTATTAAACCAACATTAACATTACCAATACCAATACCACCATTATTTTGATTTAAACCATTTAAAATTCCAATTGAATTTCGTGATTCCATATTTTCTTTTGTTTTGCCATTGAAATTCATTTTTGTTTTCGGTTTTATTTTTTATGATTTTTGTTTTTCTTTATTGTGTTTTTTATAAAATTTGTTCGCGCTTTTATTTTTCACGATCGCGTTATATATTTTTCGATTTTACGCTTTTTTTTTAAGTTTCGCTTTATTTTTCTTTTCATTAAAAAATATTTTGAATCATTTAAAAAATATGAACAAAAAAAGAATTTAAAAATAAGAAAAAATTAAAAACAAAAAAAATAATAAAAAAGTGTAAAATTAAAATGCTTAGGAGTTTTTTGTATTATTCGATTTTTTTGTTGTTGTTTTTTTTTGGCACTATAAAAGAATATAAATAAAGAAAAACTTTAATGTTTAACACGGCACGGTATTTGACCGATTGCAGTTAAAATTTTGTTGATTTTACGTAATTTTTGTTTTTTTCAAAATTTCAAAGAATACTTTTTTTCACTATAATTTATTTTTGTTGAATTTTTTATAACATTTAATTTTTTTAGGTTATGTTTAATGCACATCAATTGTTTAACATACATTTTAATTTATTTTTTTGAAATTTTTTGTTTTCTCATATCAAAATTTAATCAAAAAAAAAAAAAATTTAATCGAATTTTTTCTTTGTTTTTACTTCGCTTTTTATCTGTAGATCTGCATGATTTAAAATCGATTGATCTGAAAAAAATATAATAAAAAAATATTTTAATTGGCTTAAATATAAAAATTAGATAATACTTAAAATATTTAAATGGAATACGCTCAAATAACTTTTGAATACGTACACGATGATTTAGAAAGGTATGCAACAATATGTACCACTCGTAAGAACACACGAAATACAATAAAAAGGGAATGCATATTGATTTTGAGCCCTATCTCTAGTCTATTCCAAAAACTATTTATTTGAAGCTTGTATATTTTTCGGAAAGAAAGTTATTAGTTAAAAAATTGGGCAAGTGAAAATTCATTGGCATTGGCACCCCATTCGGAACAAATAGTTTTGTCCATTTTTGATCCTCGAACCAGTTGGTAAATATTATTGTATACCTTTCTGAATCAAACCTGTATAGAGAAAATTGATTGATAACTTTTTTTTGTATTCTAAAATAGAAATTCTTTTTAATTATATAAGTTTTTATGTATGTAGCCGGTTAGTTCATTTTTCTGAAACATAAAAATATTAGCGAAAATGATCTACCACACAACCATTTTTGGTACAAAATTTTGTAAACTCATTAAATTTTTGAATCAGAAAACTGTTTTAAACCTTATTTTTTATTTCTATTTGTAAAAATCTTAATTATTTTAATATATATGTATTATGTGTAATAAATACGAATGTTTTGCACATAAAATTCGACTTACGAATTAAAAATTATAATTTTTTTTTGAAAATTAAAAGTTCATTTATCTTGAAATGCCATTTTTAGAGTTGGACTTTATTACTTTTGAAGAGCACAATTAAATAATGCTAAAAATTGATTTAATTTTTCAGTAATTTTGTAAAATTTCTACGACCAACTTATTGGAAATTAAATTCTTGTAAAATTGTGGCTTCATTATGTGGTATTATAACCGTCTTATTGAACGTCTTAAATGCAAATTGAAAAATCACTTTTCAAGTTATCATATACGAGTATCATACGTTACTTAAGTATTAAAATCATAAAGTATTGCTATTATATTAAAAAAAATTAAGTTGAAATTCAAAATGCATTTAAATTTAAAGTATTTAAACGATTGACTATTCCGGTCATATCGTAAATGTGTATATACATATGTAAATGAAATATTGATTTTAAAAATATACAAAAAGTTATTTAGTTGCCAAGAATATATTGATGTTTTCCGCGATGTTTTTATGTTTTATACAAGAAATTTTATGTTTTGTATTTTGTAATTACAAAATACGTGATAAAAATAAAAAGTTAATTAAGGATTCTTTAAATCATTTGAATTCATTTTGAATTTCATATGAGAAAAGTAAAAAATTTCCATTCAAATAGCTGCCTAATTTGAGTGCAGGAAGAAATAATTTCAAAAGGATTATACAATATCTTGAAAACAAAATCTCATAAATAGGAATGAATTAGAAATATAAAAATATTAGATGAGTGAGCCTGTATGGTTAAGTGACTGAGTTTGTATTTCATTTCTGATTTCTCATTTGTAACATGCATATATAATAAATACTGTATGGCAATGTCTTATTAAAATTGACTAATTTTGTTGAGGAAATTTTTACTAAATCAATGTTTTTATTAATTAATAATTAACACCCTATTAAATAATTAGAAATTATTCACTCATATATGAAATAAATCAAAAAATTTCACTTTTAAATCAATCAAACAATTTAATATTTAGAATATAATATTTTCAAAGTGTGCGAACGATTTAACATGGGTGTGTGTAAAATACATAATGCATTTATGTATTCGTTTAAAAGGAAATTTAAAATTAATTTTCGCACGAAATTAATTTACTGGTATGTAGAAATTATTTCAAAACAAAATTTTATATATGAACGTATAACAAACGAGTATGTACACAATTAGCAAATATACGAGGTATGTATACAGTTAGCAACATAAATGCATATAATATATACAGCAGTCATTGTAATTGAATTTACAACAATTTATAAACAAGGTGTTTAACAATAAGACCAACAATTTATTTTTAAATTTCATGTGTAACAAGAGCTGTTTTCTAGGTTCATAATATATAATTATATATACATATGTGCAAGTGTAATTTTTTTTAAATGCAATTTCCGTCGCTTGAATAAAAAATATTTTAGATATTTGTATATAATTAACAATTATTTCTATATTATTCTATATACATAGATAAGTTATGCTGTTGATTACAAATTGTTGTTTTGAATTTTCTATATAGTTTGTATGTGTATACAAATATGTAATTATAAAAATTATAACAATAATTATATAAAACAAAAAAAATAGTGATTTGGATAATAAAATTTTCTCACCCTAAATGTGTTGTTTGCGTATCTTATGACGAGTGTATAAAAATAGAGAAAATGATGGACCTAAAACCTTTTTTTTTTTGAGTATCTGATCTCATTCATTCAATTTATTTTTTTTTTTGTTCATTGCAATATTGTGAAAAAATCTGAAATTTTGCGTTAATTAAGAAATATTTGAGAAAATTTATTCAAATTTTAATTTTTTTATTTTTCATTTCATTGAAACAAACTATTAACAACTTTAATTTATTTTTTATATTTATAAAATGAAAATAAAATAAACAAGGTATGATTTAATAATTTTATTAAACTGGAGTGTCTGTTTGTCTCTTTAATAATTGAATAAAATGTATATATATGCAATTTTTAAAATAAAATAGATAAAATAGAAGTTAATATTCTTATATTTTGCAAAAGTTTCCCCATAAATAGATATGACTTTATTACGACAATTCCATTTTATGAAAAGTTTGAAGTAATTTTGTCCTTTTCTATATCACTATTTTTTTGCTCATTCTTAGATGCAGCAAATAAACAATGAAAATTACTTTCCGAAAAGGACTTGAACCCCACCCCAGTGATCTACAGCTTTTCAGACGAATACTCTAACAACTGAGCTACAAAGTTATATGAACAAAATATCGTTAAGCTGTTCTCTAAATTGTGTGAAGGAATAAGTATAAAGAAAGGAATTTTCATTGTTTATTTCCATAAGAAATTTTCAGAAACAAAATATATTTAAACGACTACCTGTTGTTTATATATACAAACTAACTTATAATAATATTTTGTATTTCATGATCCCCAAATAATAAAATAAATAAAAACAAAAAAATGCGCTATTTACAAGAAACCCTTTTTAATCCTTACTTGATATTGATTTTAACTCTATTTTTTTTTCTGTAATATTTTTACAATGAGCCTATCATCCATAATTACATTGAATTCCCCTTTCATTTTCTTTATTTCTGTTTACACATTGTTTAAATGAATTTTTTTGTTTTCTTACTGTAGTTTTCAAATGTTCAAACTATATGTAACATTTACCATTATTTAATATTTTCTTTGTTATACGAACTTAAATTGCTTCTGTTATATTTTTTTTTTGTTTTGGATGATTAAACGTTATTCATATTAAAAAAAAAAAACCGAAAACGCAAAACAAAGTTGAATTCTTAATTAAAAAAAAAAATTAATAAAAATTTACATGCAAAGGTTTGATATCTTATGCCTAATATAACAGAGTAAAATATTTTAGTAAGTTGGTTTTTGAGTAGGATGCTTACGAGGTGACTGTTATAAGTTAGAAAACAATCTACGATATTTTATGCTTTTTGTAAATTTTCCATCTACATAAAAGTTCATTCTGTGTTTGTTTTGTTTTTCTCTTTCTCATTTTCATAATATGTGCAGTATAATACGTACGAAAATATTTACGAGCTTAAATGTGCATACATAAATTTTTATTTTGATGTATATTTGCGTATACACATATGTAACAAACATAATAATGTTGGTTAAATATTATTATGTAATATAAATTAAAGCACAAAAGAATGCATAATATATAACATTGTTACCTATATACCTATATATATAAAATATCAGCAAAAACCAATGTAATTCAACGGAAATCAAACCAAAAAAAAAAGTGGTGTTGAATTTAAATGAATGGGAAATATTTATATAATATTTTTATTAAACGCTTTAATAGACTATAATTATATTTAATATGTATTTAATATAAAAATGTCGTTTGTATTTGTGTGAAAACTATGCGTTTTAAGTTGAAAAAATATGCTATTTTGCAGTTTTACTTACATAATATTTATGTATAATAAAAACAAAATATGTACGTATATAATATTAATTAATTAATATGCTTAAGTTATTGTTATACTCGAGGAAAGAAATATAAATTAATTATTACAAATAATACGATTATTTACGTTTTTAATACCCAGGTGTATTAAATGTAATTACAAGTTAAATATAATTTTATTGTTACAAACCTCACATTAATAGAGAAGTTATATAAGAAACAATAATATTTTGTCGGTATTTAACTGAAAAATTATACAATTTAAGGTTGATTTAAGTAAGGCGCTAGTTAAATCTACGTGTGTATGTGTAGGAAAATTTTTTATTTAATGCGAATATTCGGGAGAATTAACCTGATTTTGATTAAATAATATGAAAAATTTCAAATTATTAATTTTCTTTTTAATTTAACATGTGAATATATATTTTTTCCTCGATTCATCATAAGTTTTTAGAATGACCGATTAAAAACGAAACAAAAAATTTATAAGGAATCCTGATGTAATTTTGAAACACTTTGTAACTGGATATTTAATATATCACTTTACAAATGGAAGGTGATTTTAATAATGACCTAAGTCCATTTCAATTGAAAATGAAATATTGCTCTGTTTGGATTTAAAGTACCCCAAAAAATTTCGTTATTTAGCTATTTTCGTTATAGGGTATTTATTTTACTGTA